CCCAGATCCTAGCCTCTGGTGCAGGACTGCCCCTTCTGATCAGTGGACTAGGCGGGAGCCAAGATCCAGCCCAGACCACCCACACCAATCCACACGGGATTCAGGCTCTCAACCACTGTGGGAGGTCAAGCCCAGTGGCTCAGATCCACCCATTCCAACTTAAGCAGGACCCATATCCAAGATGCAGTAGCATTCATTGAGGGACACCAGCCAGGTCTGGAAGCTCAACATCAAGGTGAGGTACAGACAATCTGCACGGGTACTACAAGAATATAGGGAAGAAACTATCTCAGATCCACAGTACAAGAAAGGAAGATGCATAGACAGCATGAAAAAACAAGGGAGGAAAGTGCCTCAAACAAACCACGACACTATAATAACAGGACCCATGGACAGTGAAGTTGATGAAATGACAGAGAAGGAGTTCAGAAGGTTCATAATTAAAATGATCTGTGAATTAAAGAATGACCTAAATGAGCAAATACAAGCAAAGGTTGATCACTCCAACTATGAGATAAGAGAGCAAATACAGGTAACAAAAGATTACTTCAAGAGAGATACTTCAAATGTATGAATTGCCAAGATCATTGTAATGTCATGTATAGCTAATAAAAAAATTTAAAAATAAAAAAATTGATAAAATTATAGCTTGTTGGAGTGTAAAAGTTTATGCTGGAATTAATAATAAATTTCTGAATAACAAAAAAAATAGAGAGAGATAGAGACTCTGAAAAAAAAACAGTCACAAATCCTTGAAATGAAGGATGCAATAAATCAAATAAAAAACTCAATAGAAAGCATAACCAACAGACTAGATCACTTGGAAGAAAGAATGTCAAATAATGAAGACAAAGTATACAATCTGGAAAATAAAGTTGTTCACACAGTGAAAGTAATTAGAAATCATGAAGAGAACATCCAAGAATTATGGGTCAAAAGACCAAATCTAAGAGTTATGGGGATAGAGGAAGGCACAAAGTTTCAAACCAAAGGAATGCACAATCTCTTCAATGAGATAATATCAGAAAATTTCCCAAGCATGAAGATCAAATTGGAAAACCAAATACAAGAGAACACCAAATGTACAAAATTACAACAGATCTACACCAAGCAAATATTATAATGAAAATGCCTAGCATACAGAATAAGGATAGACTCTTAAAAGCGGCAAGAGAGAGGAATCAGATCACATATAGGGGGAGACCGATTCGTATCTCAGATTTTTTAACCCAGACCCTCAAAGCCAGGAGATCATGGAAAGATCAAGCTCCGAAAGAAAATGGATACCAATCTTATATCCAGCAAAACTAAGCTTTAGATTTGATGATAAAATAAAAACCTTCCATGATAAACAAAAGTTAAAAGAATTTACAACTAGAAAGCCTGCACTATAGAACATCCTCAGCAAAATATTCCAAGAAGAGGAAATGAAAAACAATGATGAAAATCAGCAGAGGGAGGGATTACACTAAAGGAAAATTTAATCAGAGGAGAAACCAAGTCACATTAAATACCAAAAATAAACAAAAATGCCTGGGAATACAAATCAYGTCTCAATAATAACCCTGAATGTTAATGGCCTAAACTCATTAATCAAAAGACATAGACTAGCAGATTGGATCAAAATAAGACCCAACAATATGCTACCTCCAAGAGACTCATCTCATAGAAAAAGACATTCACAGATTGAAGGTGAAGGATTGGGAAAAATCATACCACCCACATGGACTGCAGAAGCAAGCAGAGGTTTCCATCTTCATATCAAATAAAGTAGACTTCAAACTAAAGTCAATCAAAAAGGATAAAGAAGGACACTACATACTGCTCAAAGGAATCATATGCCAACAAGACTTGATAATTATATATTCCCCAAACAATGGAGCAGCTATGTTCATCAAACAAACTCTTCTCAAGTTCAAGTGTCAAATAGACCACAACACAATAATTTTGGGTGACTTTAACATACCTCTTTCATCACTAGATAGATCTTCCAAACAAAAGCTGAACAAAGAAATTATTATCTAAAGGACAGGTTTGAAGACACGAATTGGTATAAATATACTGTGTATACAACCAGAGATATGAAAAATTGTGCTCTATATGTGTAATAAGAAGTGTAATGCATTCGGCTGTCATATATAAATTTAAAAAAAAAATGGAGACTTCAAGAGACTAACAGTACAAGTTTACCTAGGAAGTAAGATGAATTCAAATCTAATGTTATCTGATTCCAAACCCTGTGCTCTGCTTAGTCCTGAACAATGTAAAAATGGTAACTATATATAATACCACTTAACTGGTAGATAATGGAATGTTTAGTAAATCACAAAGCAAATATCAATAAATTCCAAGAAACAGGTATTCTAAAGAATAGATTTTCTTTATGTTAGTAAAAATTAAAAATAAAATTTAAGCAAAATAAATCCAACAAGTTTAAAAACTTTTTAAAACACTTTCCCACATAAGTGGTATACCCAGAAAAAAATGAGTCCTTCCAAGTTTTTAAGAAGATTATTCCTATGCTATGTCAATTTAAGAATGTTTTAAAAGATGAAAGCAAGAATAATTCTGATAGCAAAAGTCAACAAAGGAAAAAAAATGCATGTAAGGGTCCAGATTGGTATGACTAGAGCCATCTTCATCTTAACTACCACTTTGCCCACCAGGGAACCCTGGCCCACATCTCAAGCCCTGCAGGACAAAGTTGGTAAAAGAGTCAGTTTAGCATGCTATGCTGGCCACTGATGCCTAGACTGTTTCGCAACTGTCCTTTAAACATTTTAATAGTGTTTGAGAAAAATCAGGTATATTGGGGTTGGCCGCAGCCCACTGTTATCTAGCTTATCATATAAACCCCTTTTCCCTGCTTTGAGGTACAGTGACTTCCTTGACTTGATGCTACCTAAGAAGGCTTCTGTCAATAATTGCACTTTGTATGGTCCTGGATCTGTCTGCCTTTTTAAAATTTTTGGTCTTGTGACACCTTCTACCTTTGGCAGTTGGTTCTCATGCACATAATTCACCTGTGCATAAATATTAAAAATAAAAAAATACATGGCCTAGTGGAACTCAACATAATATTCAATAACAATATACCAGGACCAAGTAATTGTAAAATAAAGATATTTCAATACTAATATTCTAAACATGTAGAATCAATAGGTCAAATATGAACATGATTCTGTGCCTGCCTTGTCTGCAGCAAAACTAAGAGGTAAATTCATGACCCCCATTTCAAGAGACAGCACATGTGGATTGAATTTCTTTTGTATTGATTTTATCTCTGGCTTTGTTACACTATTGTCCTTGTTATGTTTTATTTCTTCATGATTTCTTTAATTTTTTTGCTTTGTCTGTTTTTAATATGTGTATTTTAGTAAGCTGACTAAAATATTGTGCAAATAAAATAATCTAGGGGTGTAACTCAGTGGTAGAGCATCCCTGGGTTCAATTACCAGCACCAAAATGCCAGATGCCAGCCTAACCCATACTTCAAAAGCAATGGAATAATCTTCCAGTTCACTACTGTAAGGCGTAACTGAATATGATATATTGCCTATGAAATGGAGATAGGATATTTACCTACTCAGCTGCTCAAAACATAAATGAAATCCCATGGCTCTTTTAAAATTGTGAAAATTGAAGGAGGCTACTAAACTGTATTTTCAATTCAGTGAATTCCTCAATAAATTGACCCCAAAATGGGGGCATGTTTGGATGACCAAAACTGTTGAGAGCCACAGCCAAAGGGGCCCCAGCAAACTTCCAGCTGCCAGCAAACTTCCAGCTGCCGGCTGATGATTGGCTCACAGTGGCCCCA